GTGTTCTCATCGTATTCCTCACCCTTTTTTGATGGGGAGTAAAGTTCTAATTTTTAAAAAGCTAAAATTTTAAGGCCGACAGCAGATACTCTTTGAATGACTTCTCATCTGAAACTTTGCAAAATCCATCAAAAAAATTTTCATGTAAATTCTTAAAGTATCGATTTGAAATTTTCCATCGAAGATAAAACATGGAGGGCGCATAAATGGACGTAACTAGGTTTTTGTTATACGAAATAATTAAAATTTCGGATCTTTAAAAATAATTGTTCGAGATCTGGGTGGTGATTCGAGCGGTGTCTGAGAAAAAGTTTGTGGTTCGTGAACTTACATCTTTTTAAATGTCTTGATCTCAAGATATTGATGAGTAATTCGGCCAATTATACGTTAGGAGACTTTGTGCTTCTGTACCAGTTGATTTTGGGTCAGAGGGTTTTCTTTTTTCACGTCACGGGAAATTTTTCGGATAAGCGTCGGGTTCTGCAATCTTGTGGGGCAGTCGTTTCGAGGTTGTGGAAGTCCCAAATTCTGCGATGTTTCTTTTTCCTTCGCCACTCTTTATTCTATATATGTTTCTAATAGAAATAGTAATGTTTTGCTTTTTTAGTTCTTGAAATATCTCCGTAGGGGTCTTTCCTGCTTTGCAAAGTGCGTTAAAGGCATGGACCACTTTGGGGTCATTTTGTGGGCCCATGGTGAAAATTTTCAAGCGGAGTAAAAAATTTTCCGAACTCTAATAAATCAATTTGTGAGAAACTATTTAAATTTCCCGATTTGGGTCGGGGGAAACTGATCTATCTTAAAAAATACAGACTGTCATGTTTAGTGAATAACCCTCTGTAGTGCAAGTATTTGTTGATTAATGTATTTTGGACTTTGAAAAGTCTGAAGTGTATTTCCGCTTTGTATTTTGAAACCGTGTGTTTTGGACATCCCTGGAACCAAAATCCTGCTCTGGTACTACCCTGAAAATTATGCAGCTGCTAGAGCGTCAAATATGTAGGGTAGAACCGTGTCAATGTCTTAAAATTTATTATACGGCCCACAGCATAAGAACTGATCATTAATTACCCCTAGTAGGTCTAGTTAATTTATTTTTTAAGATAATAATAACGGTTGTTTCGCAAATGTGGGAAAGAAGATTTTCCTCGTCTATTAGCCCGAGGAAAAGCATAGCCTGCGAGCGCCGAAGGCGCGAGCGGCTAGGGGCGCCAAATTTTTTTTTGCCCCGGTAAGATTTTTGGCAAGCTCGGGCCCTGCTTATCGCACCCCCTTTTCTAACCTTTATGTTAGACCCTCTCGAATAAACGGTCCCGGCCCTTGTCGCGTACGGTTTTCTATTTAAGTGTGAACTCTCCCCACCCAAAACACTTAACAAATACCCACTTGATTTGATATAAATGTCCGGTGCACAAAAACAGTTTTATCACATTGTCCCATAATCCCGGAAATCAAGGAGGTGTCCAAGACTTCCGATAGCCCTGCGATTCTTCCAACCTCAATTTTTTTCAATAGATTCAAATTATTTGACGCACGATATGTACAGGCATGTCGGTAATTAGGTATGCATACGCATACGCATCATGTTTTGCAGACATTTTAGAAACTTACAAACTTCCACTTGTGCAAATATCTACAAAAGCTTTTAAAAATTTATTCTACGTCCATTACACAAATTCAAATACAAATACTGTAAATAAAGCTATTGGATAAATTCCATCAGGAAATCATCAGATTTAACCAAAATTACACTTTCCTCATCCCGCCCAAATAGCAACCCAAATCTGTCACGCTAATTTCCCCAGAATCATCTAAAAAAAGATTCTTACATTCACCAATAAACCCCACCGCTCCTGCCCCCATGACAATTGTACATATAACCAACGCCGGCAGAATAAGCTCTATGGTGACAGGATGCGATTCATGAACTACCACGGGCTCCCTCACATTCCCAAACGAATATTGAACCGCTTTAAAGTAATTCTTTCTCCCGGAATTAATTTTGCGTGCCGCAAAACCTGCGCAATCCTGTGCACCTTATCCCACATCTCCCCCAACCCGGACTCACTAAATCGTCCCGCTTCCTTTTTGAAATATGGAAGTAGCAAATTATCCGGCCGAACTTTAAAATCGACAATGTGGAATGGTGACTTGCGTATATTCCGCACCATGCGGCGGTTCCCAAGAAATTTAAAAATCCACTCAGAAAAATCAATTATACTTTCAGGTACTAATAACGCAATGGTTGGATGATGACCCCGGGGCGAATTTTCCGCAAGAATTTGGCTCACCTTAGCTTTAATCGAGGTGTTTTGAACGGATAACAACTTTTCTTGAAATTTCCGCAGAAACTTGTACAATTTTCTACCCGGTTTTACCCGTTGGCGTAACTCGGGAAGAATGTAATCCGCCAGGTATTATTTATCCGAACGATTTGATTTGATTTGATAACCTTTATTCGTGTCAATAAATATCAGTTAGTACAAACTGGTTTACAACTCATGACACAATGAGCTAATTCTCTAATTAGGCATTTAACCACAACTAAACTTATATATTATTTAATAATAGATATTTTCGTCATTACGTCTAGTAATTATCCATTCATGACATATTTGCGTGAATTTTGGATAACTCAGATTCCCTTCCCAATCCCGTGGCAAAGAGTTCCAAAGTTTAATTGAACGGTAATTAATACTTTTCTGCGCAAATGTCGTTCTCGTTGTGGGAAGGACGAGTCACACTATCATAAAATGTATCCCCAGCCACGATCGGAATATCCCATTTGACAAGATCTTCCACCCCACGTGGCGTCGGTGGAGGGAAGAGGACCGTCGTGCAGGAACACATCGACCCTTGGTAAACGTTCACCATGAGGACAAAATTCCCAAAAAACCATATCACCACCAAAACTAGGCACACTTTCCTCGAACAATACACCTCTCCACAAGTTTCGCCCACGTTTCCGAGAAATACAAATGTGACCGTGATTATCATATGGACCAAGGTCTGCCTGGTCAAAAATGTGAGAAATCCTGCCACTGAAATTATACTTAGCAAGAGGCAAATCCAGCTTTCTGGGTCGAACGGGGACACCTCATTCTCTGTTTGACTCTGAACAACGTAACGCTACCGTTCCATCAATCAAACCCGCAAGTCTGCTAGGGTTGGGTGCAAAATTCTGGGCAGCACTATAAACAATGCCCAAACCTGATTGATTGGTACAAATACACAAGTGTTTCTTTCTGTGCACACGAAATTATATTTAGGCATGCACGGTGCATAAAAATGCATGAAAATAAATGAAATTCACTTCTTGCTAGGAATTTCATATTTTCCATACATTTCATATTTTCATGTAATGTCAAATGCGGGTGAGATTCAGTTATATGAAACTTTACTGTCTAGAAAGTTTCAAGTTGAAACCGTATAAAACCATTACTTAAGATTACATTTTTTAGATTTTTTATATTTTTATTACCAAAAGGAAATACTTTTTGACACTAAAATACTCAGCTGATGATATAAATACCATAAAATGGTACAACGGGTTCTTAATTAACCAATTACTTAGAAAAATAGTAATAATTAAATGTTATTTGCCCTAAAAAGATTTTTGTGCATTTTCATGCATTTTCCAGATTTTTGGTGGGTGTTATTAAACATTTAAAAACATTTTCGTGCACTAATTTCACGTGCAGGTGTTATTTAACAGCAGTGATACTGAAAAACACTATCATGATTCACAGACATGTTGGACACATTGCAAATTATCTAAACAGAGCACTCACACCTTCCTAAGTGGATCAGGCGGAGCAGATACCAAACAACGTGACATGCTGGATCCCAACGTTATTTTGAGATAGCAACCAACCCAATTATTTATTTATCTCGTGACAGTGATGGATTCTATCAATTCAAGAATGGTGTGCAAATTGCCAGGGTTCGGCAAAGCAAAAGAAAACCTCTTATCAAATATAAATTGATTTAAATCGAATCCTCCCAAAAAGATCTTTCCTACGAAGCCCAACTTATGAGGGTATGTGAGATTTGACCTTTATTTCCAAATCGTGAAATTTCTCTTGAGAATTCTAGAAATACGCCGAAAACGGTTGTTGGAGTAAAAATTAATTAGGAAACTTTTGGCAAAAACCGGTTTTCATTATTTGTACTCTATTATGCAAGTCTTTAGGTGGTGCTGGGTAAGTGTACGTAAGACAATAATAAAAGCACATAAATATAGTAAAAAGATAAAAAGAAAAAAACTAACTAAAAAAAGTAATACAGCCTATTTTTATTTTAGCCTTTTACCGAGCACTGCGAATTACTAAATATTTAAATTCAGTAGTTTAAATCCATCATTGTCATCAGCCAGAGAGCCGGCAGACGGATGAGTCTGTCAAAATTATGGCTAATTAGAACGTATTTACATACAAACTGTATGTAAGTATGTAACTCAAACTCTACAATATCATGCAGAATACGTGTAAAGGGGTCATAGAAGTGATTAATTAACACGTTGGGTAGGTCTGAAATCTTGCAGCGCACGATACACAGACGCGTCAAGGGTTCCAAAGTGGAAAAAAGTGTCTGAACTTCCCCATAATAAAAGTATGCATACCTACTTCCAAAGTAATTATATCTTTGTTTCTCCACGTCCTCGTATGTAGAGGAAACATCCAGCCTCATTTCGCACTTAAACCTTGTATGTAATCATAATCAGGTCACGTTGACAATCTCGCTCACAGCCGACAAGTCCAAACCAATTGGAACAATTGGAACCCTGCCAAATTCCAGTGGAATGTAAGCATACAAATAACGTCTTCCCCAACTGCTACTCATCCCATCCAGCCCGACTATTATTAACCTAACCGATTTATCATCCACCCAAATAGATAAGAACCAACTGCACTCCAACCCACACTTTAATCCACACCATTCCGCCGGGTATATAAAACCTTGCACTCTCCAAATCTGGCCACTACACTGCCACCCTCATCCCTTCTCAAAATGCTTCTCTCCCTCCTCGTCTTGGGCCTCCTCGCCCCGTCCCTCATTCTCGCCGCGGACCCCTGCAATCCCCGCTACTACCCGGATGGCATGGTCTGCGTGTGTGACGAACTCTGGTGCGACACCATCGATCCCCTCACCCCCACTCCGAACGGAATTGTCCAAATTTTTGAGAGCGATCGCGACGGCAACAAGCGTTTTGTCCGCCGACTACAATCCTTCAACGGGACGGAAGACCCGATCGGACAGGTGTGGAACGTCATCCTTCAACCGACCCAACTCCACCAAGAGATGCTCGGCATTGGGGGTTCCTTCAGCGATGCGGCCGCCTTAAACCCTGGCCGACTAAGCCCTAAAATGTTGCGGGATGCGTATACCTCCTTCTATGGCGCCACTGGGGCAGAGTTCGCACTGGGAAGGATCACAATTTCCGGGTCGGACTTCTCCACCCGGCCGTATTCGTATGACGACGTGGCAGAGGACATTGGCCTGGACTCGTTCAACTTGGTGGATGAGGATATTTCTTTTAAGGTGAGGAATCCCCGGGTATTTTTCATGATGTAGTCTATTTACCCCTCAACTTTAAAATATGCATAGATCCCACAACTCAAACTGGCCAGGGAGTTGGCTGCTCAGGACGTTAAATGGTACGGATCCTCCTGGGCTCCTCCAGCCTGGATGAAAACAAACGGGATAGTCAATGGGAACGGGACTTTGAGGGATGGGCCTGGTTCTGCTATTTGGGTCTTATTCGAAATACTTGGTCAAGTAGGTGATCACCTCGGTCATAAATATTTTCGCAATTGGGGGAAAGAATTTTATAAATGGAGACATTTCCCACATTTTTTTTAGATTCTTGGACGCATACAGGGCTGAAGGCGTTGATCTTTGGGGAATGACAGGTTGGCTTGAGTACTCATTAATCAAAATACCAACTAATCAACCTATTAATCTCCTCCCTTTATTCACCACACAGTTCAAAACGAGCCCATGACCGGCTTCTCAGAAACATTCCCATGGAACACGTGCGGCTTCACGGCAGCCATGGAGCGTGACTTCATCGTCCAACATCTCGGCCCAAACCTTCGCGCAGCCGGGTACAACACACCGACTAATTTCTCCCTCATGATTCTAGACCATGATCGCGCCCACGTGCAGAACTGGACTGAGACCATTCTAGCTGACCCTATATCGAACGAATTTGTCGCTGGAACCGCCGTCCATTGGTATTTCAGCGAACAAGTCCCGATGTCCGTGTATGACGAGATTGTCGCCAGATTCAACAAATTCGTCCTTCTCACCGAGGCTTCGATGGTCTTCGGGGAAGACCCTGTCGGTCTGGGGAGCTGGTACTTGGCGGAAACTTACATGCAAGACATCGCCTCCACGACGCAACACTCGGTCGCGGGGTGGACGGATTGGAACTTGGCGCTCAACATGTCGGGTGGTCCCACCTGGGCGGGGGCTAGTGAGAGATCGGCCCCCATTATTGTGAGTGATGATGCTTCAGAGTTCTACAAAATGCCGATGTACTATGCGCTTGCACATTGGAGCAAGTTTGTCGTTCCGGGATCAAGACGAATGGCAACGGTTCCTGTGTTCCCGGTAAGATGGGGATTTATTTAAATTATTATTCTACCCGAGAGGTGAGCCCTAAATCTGATTTAATTTTTAGGGTACGTCCGATTTCCGTGTTACTGCCTTCCTGCGCCCGGATGGTGGCGTGACTATTGTCTCGTACAACATGTTAATGGAGGACCAGGTCCTCAACTTGACGGTTCCAAACAAAGGAACCATTAAGATCCGAGTGGGTGCCAAGTCTTTCAATAGTTATTTATATTATTAAACTTAATTTGAGTATGTGTTGTCTTTCATGGCAAGCCTTTAGATGGTCGAACACAAATTTTTATAATCTAAAAGCTTGTTGATTAGAAACCTCAAGTTGAAATAAAACTGGTCATTCGTTCAATCTTGCGTTGTCATTGCACCCATTTCTGCCAATTTAAATCAATTTGTTCCAAACGTTATGTTTTATTTTTAGGTAGGCCATGTGAAATAATTTTTAAAAACTGCAGTTGGGGTGGAGTTCATGCATTCTACAGGATTCCATGTCAAATTTACCCCATCAGATTTCCCCACGACAGAATGACCCCGCCATATTGACCTCGCGATAGATTGCCCCCTAACTGTTGGTATGGGGTCAATTTGTCGTGATTTGATGGAAATTTACATAATTAAATTTGGTCAGATTTCCTGGTATGAATCATACCGTATGATACCATATTGACCACGAACCACATTGACCCCAACCCAAAATTGACACTAATAATTAAAAGACCCCCATGATCACCACGGCACAATCACTCTTATATATTTTTTTGCCCGCTTTTGATAAGTTGAAGATCTTTAATAGCAGAACACAAGTTAAACTACCCATGTTGAAATCGACCTCATTTACCTGGTCGGGATGTCAAAAGCCACACAGCGTTACAGACCTTTTTACCCAAGGAGGTGGATTTCGACTTTAATGGTAACAATTTTTCTGCTACTAAACATCTACAGCATATCAAAAAATGGTACAAAAATACAAAAGGGAGAATGTGCCATGTTGATCGTGCGGTGTCCTTTATTTTGTATTCAGGCTCAAATCAAATATTCCAATCTAAAATTGAAGACTTTAGTTGCCCGAGTCAGAGTCAGAGCCCTATTTTAAATTTGTGTCCTACATATAACCCAGTGATTATTATTACTAAACTAAAATGCAAAAACTACGCGGGTTATCGCTATATTGTAGTTTTCTCGGCATAAGGTTCCATACACTAGACAATAGTTCATCCTCACTGTCACATGTGTCAATAAAATATCGACCGATCTCCTGCTACCAGATTTCTTAAAATTCCCCTCATATTCTTAAATCTGATAAACTTGCACATTGATGCATAATTTTAGCTATTTCTAACCAATTAAAAAAATCATTGTGAGTCATCCCCTCGGTTGTTTGAGGTTGACAATTTTTAAATTTGTCAATTTGATGTGGGGGTAAATTTGTCTTGGGGTCAATGTGGCAAGGGGTCAATCTGTCCTGGGGTTAATATGGTATGGGATCAATCTATCATGGGGTCAATATGACGGGGTCAACTTGACGCCAAACCTACTAAAAACCTACTAAAGAAAATCCCCGAACGACAATACTCGCTGACCCATTTGGGCAGGCCACGCCCACTTTAAAGGCTAAAAATGTTTTTTCAATGTAAAATTCTATATCAAAATTCTAATTTTGTTTGTCGCATATTCAAAATTAACGTTTCTGAGAACCAGGATAAGCTACAGAGGGTTATTTTTACTTATAGGCACTGTCGCTACTTGCCCATATATACGAAACTACAGCGCTATGAAGCAATAAGTTAAATGATATAAAAAGTTTAAGTCAAGTCGAAAGTATTTTACTTTTACTCCATTTCAAGATTTTCAAAAATGGGTCCGAAAATTGACCCCAAAGTGTTTCACTCAGTAAAAGCACTTTGCGCAGCTAGAGTGTCTCCTAAAAATATTGTCGACCAACTTAAAAATCAGGGGATTGAACTTTCCATAAGGTCTATTCACAGAATAAAAAATTCCGAAGGAAACAGGCACCAGGCTACAGAATTAGGACTTCCACATCCGCCCAACACCTGCCCCGAAAAGTGAGAAAACCGACGCTCATCACAAAAGTTAACCGTGACACTAAAAAAGAAAACCCACCGACCCAAAATCAAATGGCAAAGAAGTATCATGTATCTCAGTCAACAATAAATAAAATTATTCATCAGGATTTAGGAAAGAAGACATACAAAAAGACCAAAGTGCATGCCCTCAAACCACGGCACAAGAAAATACGGAAGTCGACATCTAGGAAGCTGTACAAAAATCACCTCGCAGGTAAAAAGTCCGAATTTGTTGTCACATTGTCCGAACCATTATTCTTCATCGAGGATTGCAAAAAGGATCGTAGAATTTGCTATTCAAAGTGCCAAAGTGACATGGAGAACTATGTCTGCGAAAAAAGTGAAAAGTTTGCGGTCAAAGTTATGATAGTCGGCGCTATGTGCGGTCGTGGAACACTCCCCTTGATTCGAGTTCCCCATAATGTGAAGATTAATGCGACCTATTATGTTGACAAAGTTTTAAGTCCTCTTTTGGAGGAAGAAATTCCAAAACGCTACCCTGGCGAGACCCACAAGGTGTTCGTTCACCATGATGCGGCGTCCTCGCACACCGCTCGAATCACGACCCAGTACGCGGCCGAATTAAAAGAAAAATTCGGAATAACAATTATTCCTAGTCCAGAGATACCAGTTAAGTCCCCTGATGCATCCCCGATGGATTTTTTTGGATTTGGAATGTTGAAACAGGCCCTTTTTAAGAGGCGAGCTACCACTCTCGACGGACTTTGCAAAGTTTTAGATGAAGAATGGCGCAAAGTCACCCCTGAAATGTGCCTAAAAGTATTCAATTCTTGGAAACGACGACTTCGTGCCATATCAGAAAACGATGGGGAACACGTAGAAAATACCAAAAAAATTCACCGACGAGCCCTTCAACCCAAAAATTAAGGTTAGTTACAGTGCCTATAAGTAAAAATAACCCTCTGTATGAAGCATCCCTAATATTATTTTTTTCTCGAAATTTGAGAGTATTTCGAAAGTTTGCGGAGACTTTCATAACATTTTTCGATTTTCTATAAGAAAAAAATCACCACCAGGTTAATTTCAAAAGTGGCTTTAGAATGTATTGTGAAGCATAGGCTGTCCAGAGACACGGAGAAACCCTGCCACTTGCCGTTGTCGAATAAATATGTATGATTTACATATTAAACCAAATCCGACGGGAGACGGAATTAATATGGACAACATGAACATGGACAAGGAGTAACGTGGACAAAAAAATATGGACTGGACTAGATGTGGACAACATAGATATAGACACGCGCAAACACGGTGCATACAAGAATAAGCCTTGTCTGCATTACAAAAATTATTCGTACGTAAGAAGAGCAGCACTCCACTCGCGCGTCGATTGAAGAAAGAATAAGTGGGAAGACCCCCAGGAACACAAAATTCAAGCAAATAAAATTGGACGACAGGCTTAAAACCCTCGTATTACAATATAATGAGATGGAGTTAAATGATTTTGTGAAAGGTATTTCATATAATATGATGTGCAATTTGTCCCGAAAAAAGACAGAGCGAGATCAACAAGCACCGCTTCTCCCGCTTGTCACTCTTACTTTAAATTCTGACCTGCCCTCGTGTTCTTCATCAAAATTTGACCAAACGTACAGCACATCGCCCGTACCAAACCGACGAGGTCGTAAGAGAAAGAGTAATTCGCCCATACTATGAAAAAGTGCTCGACAAGCTGCGCACAAAATTTGATTTGAACAGTTTTTAGCCCGAACCAGGGTTTATTTTTAATTACTTGTAGTTTTTAATTACATTTTCGACATTTTTTGTGTCCACATTTATTCCTGTCCAGATTTTTTTGTCCTCATTTTGGCGTCTCTATTTCGTCCTGTCCATATTAATTCCCTAACCCAAACCCGACAGTCGTCGAGAGAACAATTTACGATGACGGTCCATGCTGTGCGTGAAAATGGCGATGATGGCTGTTTCTTATTATGCAAACCTTCCCCTTCAGCCTTCCTTCTCTCGCTGAACTTTCCAAAGGACATGGAAGAATGATATGAACGACTTTAGTGGACTCTAAATATCCGTAGAGTTAAGTGTGTATGTGCAGTGTTTGTTTTTGCGCGCACCAAATTATTTTTGTGTATGCACGGTGCATAAATATGCACAAAAATGCATGAAACTCACTTCTCGCAGGGAAATGCATATTTTAAAGAAATTTGATATTTTCCACCCATGCCAAATTGGTGTGAGATTCGATTATTTCAAACGTTACTGGTTTGAAAACACCATTTTCTAAATATTAATTTCGTCCACTAATTTCGTGCGGGTGTTATTTAACAGGAGAGACACTGCTGGAAATATAGATGCCCCAAATTCGCCATTTATGTTTCCCGTCTGGGTTACATATCGTCGTTCTAATTCTAAATAGAACTAAGTGCAGTGAATGCTTAATTTTAAATAGAGCTAAGTGCAGTCAGTTTTTACTTTTAAAAAGAGCCAACTGCACAATAAACACTTTAGTTAAAACAAGTGCAGTTAGCTCTTTTCAAAAAAAAAGAACTGACTGCACTTAGCTTTATTTAAAATTAAGCATTCACTGCACTTAGCTTTATTTAGAATTAGAACGACGATATGCAGGTGGCCCCTATGATTCTTAAGTGAAGTGGTGGTGGATCGAGGTGTCTCATTTTATATCTGCAGTGCAGATATAATTAAGCAATTGCTAACATTTATTAGGAAGCGTCAGCTTACTTTTGCGATGGTTTTGTCCGTCCGTCTGTCCGTCTGTCCGTCTGTCCGTCCGTAAGCAGGATAACAGGAGAACGGATCGAGATAATCAAATGCGGTTTTCGCCTTTGTACTTCTAATTTTTAGTTCTCGGTCGAGTTCGATAATGGGGTCAATCGAACCACCCCCCACGGCGCCAGGGGGTGTGGTCGAAAATTGAATTTAACCTTAATTTTCATATGGGGAGTCATTTTAAAGGAAATTTCGCCACGAATTCAACGACGCCAATATTTTCGACCTTTGACCTCGACGTTGGGGTCATGAGGTCAAAAAATACTTAATTGTCATATGGGATGTCATTTTAAAGGACATTTTTATACGAATTAAACGACGACAATATTTTCGACCTCGTGACCGTGTAGACGAGGTCAAACGTCAAAAATATAGAATTTTTAGTTTGGATCGTTGTAGACAGGACGTACGGATATTTGGGACATATATTAATAACCGTCTGACGCTTCCTTTTTATATTCGTTTGTAAGGGTTTATTTTTCTGTGCGTCAACTAATTGTAT